TCAGCAGGTCCAACATGATAAATGGGTTCATTTGTATATGGAATAGTGTGAACCACGGGAGCAGCGGTAGTTATTATAGGCTGAGGGAAAAATACCATAGGATGGATCACAGGTTGCATAGTAGTCATCTCAGGTTGAGGAAAATATACAATAAGTTGAATCATGGGTTGCACAGTAGGCTGGTACCATTCTTGCATGAAATTTTAAGGCATACCCCATGGAAAACCTCTCGGCATTTGATGTTGCGAAGGGTTTACTTGAGCCAAAGAGGCTGGAGCAGTGACGACCTCGAAATCCATAGTAGTTTGAGCTTGAGCTTTAGTGGCTGAAGCCGATGGCTTATTCTGAGCATCCATCAAGCTTTCCACCAAAGCGGTCAATTTTTCCATTCTAGTACGAAGAGTAGTAACCTCCTCGAGAAGCTCATGATTTTCTTGCTCATCTTCCATTCTCTTTCGATGATTGACTCGAGTATTATACTGGTGAAACAGCTTGACGATCTATCAGGGTGGAAAAAAGAAGCAAGAATAAGACTCTAGAAAACATGTAAGATTGGATGTTGAATGATGCATGATATGCGATGCAAATCATTATTTATTTTTGATAGTTTTTTCAAGGAACTTTAAAATCTTGATAACTTTGCAAACATCAATGGTAAAGAACTTTGGAACAGCAAAACTTATTTTATTAATAAAAGGCAGAAAATTACAACTTTGGAACATAAAAGCCCTTTAAAGAGTTTTACAAAATGGCATAAGTAATAAAAACTAGGGACTTTGATCATTCAGAATTATCATCGGACGAAGGACCAAATGCTACTTGTAGCTTGAGCTTCCTAATCTTCTTTTCATAGAAGTCTTCCATCCATGTCTTCTCGGCTATCAAATGATCAACAACTTTCTTCCATGGATTAGGAATAGATGTAACGTCTATCAAATCTTCCTTCTTTCTCTTCTTTTCCTTAGCATATTTCTTTAGCAATGCATCTTTCTAACGAAGCTTCTCATCGCGATCAATAAACCAACCATCTTGAATAAATAACATATCCTCCTTCTCCTTCAGTTGTCTAGTTAGGAACCTATTTTCATATTCTGATATACTATATTTTTCTTTCCAAGCATCTCTTTCAGACTCCATTCTAGCTAGATTTTCCTGATACTCTTTCATGTTCTCAATAGGAATGGCAGTAGATGATGGTGTAGTAATAGGGAATAAGGGTTTCTCGTGATAATAAGGCATCTTGAGAGCATAACCCCTAGCACGAACCCTTTGAAGGAATGCCTCCAAAGAAACAACACCTCTCTGCCCTAACATGTCTCTTCCCTTTCTATGGACATGACGTCAAGCCCTTTCAATCTCCTCCTTAGCTGCTTTGTGATCCTTTCCTTCTTGGAGAAAGAAACCACTCAGATGAATGTTGTTTGGCTTGTCCTTCATTGGGTATCCAAACTAGCGTCGTGCAAGAACAGGATTATAGTTAATTCCTTCCTTCATACCAAGAAGAGGCACATTGTGAAAAACACCACAATTATCGATGATCTTCACATCATAATAAGCTTGATTATACCAATCAATGTTAGAATGAGTAAGAGCCATAATTTTTGGCCCCCAACGCGGCTCTTTCTTGAGATCCTAAAATATATCAGACCCAGGTAAGTGGGAAACATACCACTGGTATAATAATGGTGTACAACAGATAATCATCCCACCTTGGTAGGAATTCTGAAGATGGATGGAATAGAAGGTATCTCCTAGCAGCGTAGAGACTGGATTTCCAATAAAAAAGATCCTAATGGCGTCGATATCCACGAACTTATCGATGTTAGGGAACAAGATCAACCCATAGGCAAGCAAAGCAAAGACAGCTTCAAAAGCAATAGTAAGCCTCAGATTCCTCCCTTGGTAGTCATGTTATCTTCTATCTCAAACTTCCTTAAGTGGGTAATTGTTGCTATCTCATGAGACTTAGGATCCCCTTCTAAACCGAAGAAAGGAACACAGTCGGTGATTGGTAAACCAAGTATATAAGAATACTCTTCCAATGGATCATAGAGTTGGACCAATGTAGTAAGGATACCCTCCTTCATCTTGCTCTTCATAAGAGGAATAATAGACCCATACTTCTTTCATAAATTCGTAAGGTTCTCAATCTTGGGAATCAAACTCTTCAACTCTTCAATCTCAGGATCCTTGAAACTGTAACTCCGAGTGTTCCTTTTTCCAAAATCCATGGTAAAAAGTACTTGAGATGTCTGCAAAAATCATTCTTAAGTTCCTTGAAAAACATGTTTAAAGAATGCTTATGGGTGCATGAATGAATGATAATGCAACAATTACACATAAGCTCACATGGGGGTTCAAAGGTTCAACGCTACGAGCATGGAGTCAAAGCTAAAGACCACCCCCAAGGTATGTACTAAAGGTTTAATCACACCTGTAAAACAAGGTTATAAAATTTCCCAGAGTATGTGTTCCTCTTTCGGATATTACCAACATCCCGATTACTCGGTAGTTAATAACATTCTCAAGAGAAACTCGTCTGAATTCAGCATCGTGTGACAACTACTTCTGGATTACTCTGTTATAGTCTTCGCATTACACCTAAGAGGCCAAGATAGGTTAAGGGTTCTACGATTCTCAGCTTCTATGGCTCCGAGGTCGAAAGCAGTAACATCTTCCCGATTACTCGATAAACGAATACTACAGTCAAAGGGGCCTCCACTGACTGGGGGATTTCATATTTCCTTCTTCGGGATTACTCCCTCAAAGTTAACATGACTATACCGTCTGTTCTATTCTTAAGTGTAACTTAGTCTGGGTATATGACTTGTCCTTTGTAAGTATCATCAACACCTAAATAACCATAATATATAACATATAATCAAACAAACAAACAATAATAAAAATATATATGACAAATTAGGCTTAACCCACTTAGGGATGGACTAGCAAGAGGTCAATCTTTCCCCAACAGAGTCGCCAATTCTATAGCGATAAAAAATGTAGCGGTGTAAATTGGAGATCGAGCTATTAATTAACTCGACTCGTAAAAGCAAGAGTTTCCACCGCACTTTATTATTTCCAAGGGAAAAGGGAAAATAGCGAAATAAAACCCTTAAATATGCAATGTAAAGTAGTACTTAAAAGTAATGAAAATACAATGCATTTTTTGAAAGTGAATTGAAGGTTCGGGGGTTGGTTATACAAAGGGAAGGTACTAGCACCCAACGCATCTACAGTACTCCACATGAACCTTTTTAAATATCTGTTTTTTGGTTAAAATTGTTTGTTTGGTTAAAATGGGTGTGAATGAGATTTTGAAGATACGACGACCTAGTGTCGAAGTTTTGACTTAAAATGTGTGAATTTTAAAATTGAGTCTTTTAGGAAAATTAACTTAAGTTTAACAAAAACTAAAATGTATGAAGGGGTTTCAAACAATCGTATAAGATATATTTGATGACATGAAGTCAACAAAGTTAAAACATTTCCCTTGGAATTTAGACGAACGAAAGATATAAAGATTAAATGATCGAGAATAAAGTTAATTAAAATGACGATTAAATAATTAAACAAAAATTAAATAAGAGCGAAATTTGTACTAGCATGTATTATTGAACAATTAAATAAATAATAAAAATCAAAAAAAAGACTAATTTAATAGCATGTATTTTTGTATTTTTATAATGGCAAGAAATAATTGTATGTATAAAATAAACTAAACTAATATAAAATTTGGGGAAATAAGGCTAAAAGAACTAAAAAAACGAAATAAAAAGCCTTACAAAGGGTTGAACTCAAGTCTTTTTGGCCATAAGTGATATGCCTCGCCACTGAGCTATTGTTATCTTCTTATCATATGTACATCTTAATTAAACTAAAAAAAGGAAAACTAAAACGTAATTGGGCTAAAAGGCCCAAAGGACCGACCCGGTTTAGAAAGTGTAAAGTCAAAGTCTTGGAACCCTAAACAAAAGGGAGGCTCCAGATTTGTTATTGGGAAGGGAAAGTTTCAGATTTAATTGATTCCCAATAAACTCTATTTTCTATGGTTACCGTGAAAAACAAAAATTAAAACACTCTCTTCCCTATTCCAAATTCTTCATCTCTCTATCCTTGCTCTTTCCACGGCTTTCTCCAATTCGTCCTTCCCTCTCTTGAAAACTTCATCTTCTCTTAAATTTAAACAAACCTCTCTGCTAAATTTCTTTGGCTTCATCTTCTACTTAAGTGATAAAACAACAACAATTTACTCAAATCCCCATGGATTCGCAACCAGGTTTCTTCTCTTGATCTTGATTTCACAACGAAACAATAACAAGGCCGAATCTGAACTCGTTCGCTTGCTCACAAAATCGCCTCTATTTGGAATCTCTTAATTTCTTTTTTTCTAAATTCACAACAACAACCAACAAGCGCATCGCTCCTAAGAGCTATTGTAAGTTCTGATTTTTAGGGCTAAATTGTGGTTCCAGTTTGTTTTTTGGGAACATGGCTAATGAAGAAGGTTCGAGGTTGTTGTTGTTGTTGACGGTGGAAAAGAGATAAGTGTTGTTATGTGAAGTTGGCGGAAGTGGAGATACAGAGGGAGCGTGGTTGTTATGTTGTTGAAGTGGGATAGTGAGGTAGTTGTTCAAAGTGGTTGAAGTGTAGGGGTTTAATCGGCGGAGGGAAAATTGGAGAACGAAAGTTCGATCGGTGAGGATATGTATAGGACAGTGAGAAGGAGAGTCGATAGTGGGTTGTTTGATGATGTTCGGCGGTGAAGGTTGGTGAAAGTAGAAGAGGAAATGAGATGGTTGAAAGTTTTTGTGGTGTAAACTAGTGTGAACAAAGAAGTATTGTGAGGTAAAAGGGAACAAGAAAGATGAATATTAGTGGGCGTTAGTTGAATTTACGGTATGGGAATGGTGTTATTCGTCAGAAACAGAGGTGAAAATTGTTCGTCAGTTTTTGTTTTTGTGATAATTTGGATTTGCTGCAAAAGAAATTTGAGTGTGCTACTGGGAACGAGACTGTTGATGTGGGTTTTTTTTTAATGATGATGGTGGGACGATGTGGATGGGAGAAAAGAAGTTGACGAATGAAGTATCATCGCAGACTGTGATTGAAGCTAAACCAGATGTAAGCGTGAACAGAAATTTTGAAGGAAATGCGTACAAGAGGTTTTTGGAAAAAAGGTTTATTACCATGTACAATTGTGTTTTGTCATTTATTTGAAACTCAACATACAGATATAATAACTTATACCATTACTACTTCTGTTCTCATGTGTATATGCAAATTTGCTATGTTTAAAATTACCTAGTTGATATTTAGGATTATATATAATAACAACAGAAAATATTAGCATTTATAAAAAAAAAATCCAGCCATATATAAGTCTAAATAATGTGTTGTGCCTGGACTTGAGAAACGATTGTCATCTTGATATTAACAAAATCAGCCTCAAGTAATCAATTAAAACAGAAACCCTTAGGATTGAATATAACTTGAGCATCACAGGCACAATGTTTTAAACTCACAGATTTTCCCACGTGCATGAACCCTTCACTATTGCTCTTCTTTGCTAGCTTCAAGGATACCTTGTGCTTAAGGATAATTGCCTTGTTATGTATGATGCTAATGTATATACGAGAAAATTATGCAGAAGTAATAGGGAGAAGAAATACCTATCGGAGTCTCTTCGATGGAGTTTCAAAAAAACAATAAGTTCTCCCTCCCTCTCTGGTTGATTCTCAAGCTTCTTTAGCTCTGATTCTTGTTGTGAATCTTGAACAAATTTCTTTCTTTTCTCCCTCTCTAGGTGGCTGTCTTTGGTCTCCTTTTATAAGCACAGTGGAGTGGAATTGAGAGGGAAATTTGTAGAGATTTTGAACAAATATGAATGCCCGATTTTGATGCTTTTTTCATACAGTTTTGAGTTTCCATTTTGGTGTAACATCTTGGCTGTTATGATGCAGGGCAGCAGTGACATAGCAGACTGTATTAGACTGGTTTAGGCTGATTTATAGCAGTGTTGTTTGAAGAATTTGGACTGATCTGTAGGCTGCTATTTGGACTGATCTGCAGGCTGCTATTTGGACTGCAAAAGTACCACAAAAATGGGACTGTTATTGTGTTGAAACATGGCTGGAAAATGGGAAGCATGTTTGAAGCATGAAGCTTTAGGACATTAGAATTATCGTTTTGATTTTTCTATGTAAACTTGTAATCCCTCTTGTAACTTTGTAGTGATAATTCCAAATAAAATCACTTGACACTTCTAATGGAACTCTTGAATGAATATGAATGGAATTTTTGACTTGGATGAATCATGGGTGAAACTTGAAAAATTATCAAAATTGTAACAAGTCTTGGATTTAAATGTGACTAGAAATATTTCATTTTAATTTGGAATGGATTTGTCTTGAAATTTGGAGTCTTCCATTTAAAATGGAATTAATCACATGCCTTGAATGACTTTGAAATATTGTGCCCTTGAAAATAATCTTGAATAAATGCAATATGATGAATGATCTGAATCTTGAATGAGCCCTTTTGATAACTCCTATTTAGTTAACACTTGAATTCACATGATGAAAATTCCAAGTATTCTAAATAAATTCTTCCAAAGCGATCTTGAATTAATCACCCCACTCTAACGAAATTCACACTGCATCATGTATGTATAAGAAATCGCACCATACTTAAAAGCTTCGAATGATCACTAAAAGAGGGATTTGAGGCAAAATACAATTTGTAAATCATGACAAACGTCCTATAAAAGCTTTTCATGGCTTTCTAAATACAATTTGTCTTCAACTTTTAAAGAAAACTTGCATATGGCTTTTGGTCTAAGTGCTTTGAATTGACTTGGTCGAAGTGCTTTGTACACCCGGCAAGTCAAAAAATGAAAAGGTGGCTTGGGCAAAAAAGCGTATCCCGGTGGACTGAAAACCCGAAAGGGCGGTCTAGTAAAAAATTAGAGATTAAAGCGTATGACTATGTCCCGTTGGATCACTTATAGCGAGCTTTATTACCAACGTCAAGTTCGAATGGAACAGATCAATTCAGTCAACTTCTTCCGACAACAAGGGATGACATGCTCGAAGACATAAAGGCAATAGAAGAGTTGAAACCTGACGAGATTATTTCCACATAGCTATATGTTTTTTTCACATAGCTATATGAGTCTAAAATGTTGATGTGGATAAAAAATTATGAAGTTTGACTGTAAATTGGCCATGGTTGACTTTTTCCCCAATACAACTGATTTTTAGGTCAACTGTCCAATTGATTGATCAAAAGTGTGGTTCAAGGCTTGAAACTTGTCATGAGTAAACTTAGGGGGTCCATAATGATGTTTGAAAATCATATGAAGCATTGATAGCCCAAAAATCTTTGTGCAAACTCAAACCCTAATTTTGGATCATCAATGTGAGATGAGATGTCCTGAGCTGACCAAACCCTAATCTAGTCTTGAGTCAAAGAGATCTTGTGAGAAAAGTCTTGATAAATGAGAGGGCAAATTTTGGGATACAACCGCTGCCCATGTTCAATCTTCTTAGACCTGAAGAGTTAGATTGGCGAGTTTTTCCATTCGTGACTCGAAGGTGAGAGAATGATTGGACACTAGAGTGCCTAGAAATTTGCACTCGATGATGTGTAGTTTGAGGGAATGGGCTTAAAGATGCCATTTGGAGAAGTGACAGAATCTTGTTGGAGATGGGCTTGCAGATGCCATCCAAGGATGTTTGTTGAATTGCAAGTTGTAAGCTGAAAGAATGAGTATCAGAATTACGTCTGTGTTTGGAGTGTGTCTGAACTGTATCTGAAAGTTGAATCTGAATGAGTATCAGGATGGCATCTGTGTCTGGAGCGTATCTGAACTGTATCTGAAAGAATTTGAATGAGTATCAGAATGGCATCCGTGTTTGGAGCGTATCTGCACTGTATCTGAATTTGAAATCTGAATGAGTATCAGAATGGCATTCGTGTCTGGAGCGTATCTGCACCGTATCTAATGGTTGAATCTGAATGAATATCAGAATGGCATCCATGTTTGGAGCGTATCCGTACTGTATCTGAACTTGAAATCTCAATGAGTATCAGAATGGTATCCGTGTCTGGAGTGTATCTGGAGTGTATCATGATTGCATATTGTTAATGGTAGTTGTTTAATCTTATCCTGAAAAAGGGTAAAATGTTAGTTGAAACAAAGTTATATTGCATGAAATGTATGATGCAATGCATTTGCTTTATCAATGTTTATGATATGTGGATGTAATGTATGCGCATGTAAGCTGATTTGTTGTATTGCTGTTTGATTGAGGCAAATAAATCCTTGAATGCTGTTGAGGATATGTTGAAATTTCGTGTCTTGAAGTTGAAGCACTGACGAACTCTTGTTGAGAGAAGTAAATTCTGTTGTGAGGGAAATGCCATGTACTGCTTGTAAGATCTGTTTGGGGAATCCTGAGAAATTTGACGATTTCTACTGGGATTAATAATGTGAAATTTGTTCAGCTGGGGATCCAAATGACGTACTATGGGGATTACTCATGAAATAGCCTAGAGACGTTTTCCTGTCCTTTCAACCTACCAGTAATTGTCTTTCTCATTTTGTTTATTTGTAAACAGTAATTATGTTCAAATGCATATGTTCATTAATGAATCATTGGACGTTTTTGCAAATAAAACACAAGTGTAAAGAAAAAGACAAATAGTTTTCTGTACTTTCAAAGAGATATCTTTGTATTGACTTTGAATAAGTATTTTGTACAAAGGAGACAAACATTCTAGTAAGAGAATAGTGCCATAAAACAAGAAAAATTTATACAAAGAAAGATAGTTATGTGTAATAATCCCATGGGGTTCCCATTCTGCTATAGCCTTCATATCTCCGAATATCTTGTCTATTTGTTGCTTCGTCCGAAAATGATTGAATTGATGAAAAACTCCGAGTTTGTCAGTGAAGTCAAAGGTTGTCCGTAAAGTGATCCGATGAGACATAGTCATACGCTTTAATTCCCTAACTTTTGCCTGGACCACCCTTTCGGGTTTTCAATCCACCGGGAAACCCTTTTTTGCCCAAGCCGCCTTTTCGGGTTTTCAACTTGTTGGGTGTACAAATTTTTTTATTTTATCCTTAATTTTTGCCCAAACCTTTTTGGTTCGCCGGGATGCCCCTTTTTTCCTAGGTGTGTTAACCTAGCGGGTCTCTTAGGCGTAATATCTTTTGACTATGTCCGCGTTCCAGGGTGTGGCAGGTCGTCACCATCCATGGTGGTCATGATCATTGCCCCACCAGAGAATATGTTCTTGATTACAAATGGTCCTTCATAGGTAGGAGTCCATTTGCCCCTGGGATCACTTTGTGGCAGGATGATATGTTTGATCACTAGATCCCCAACTTGATATACTTGGCGTCTGACTTTCTTGTTGAAAGCCTTGATCATCCGTTTTTGATACATCTAACCATGGCAAATAGCAGTAAGTCTCTTTTCATCAATTAAGTTCGGTTGATCAAGTCGAGTCTGGATCCAATCGTCTTCATTCAAACCTGCATCCTTCATAATTCTCAGAGAGGGAATCTGAACCTAGGTAGAACATCCTCCATTTCGTAAACCAAAGAATAGGGTGTTTCCCCAGTTGATGTGTGAGTCGTGGTACGATACCCGTGGAGAGCGAATGGTAACATCTCATGCCAGTCTTTGTACGTGACTGTCATCTTTTGTATGATCTTTTTAATGTTTTTATTTGCAGCTTCGACAGCACCATTCATCTTTGGCCGATAGGGGGAAGAATTATGATGCTGAATCTTGAATTGCTTGCACAAGGCGGTGATCATAGTGTTGTTAAGATTTGTACCATTGTCAGTGATGATCCTTTCCGGGATACCGTACCGGCAAATGAGATTTTGCTTGATGAAGCAGGCAACAACATTCTTAGTAACAGAAGCTAAGGAAGCTGCTTCGACCCACTTTGTAAAATAGTCAATGGCCACTAGGATGAAGCGGTGTCCATTGGAGGCTGTAGGCTTGATCTCCCCAATTATATCAATTCCCCACATAGCAAAGGGCCAAGGAGCCGTCAAGACATTCAGAGGAACCGGAGGTACGTGCACCTTATCAGCATAAATTTAACATTTATGACAGGTCCGAGAGTGTTGATAGCAATCTGCTTCCATGGTAGACCAATAATAGCCCGC